TCTTATACAACAGAAGCTCGTATAGTTTATTCCATGAAATTTTAGGGGAAATAGAATTCTTCATCTAGCAGACGGCAGTTTGAGAATAGGTGTGCTGTCTAAAACTTAAAAGGTAAACATGGCTAAATATATGCATTCTCTCTCTCTCTTTCTCTCTCTCTCTCTCGCACATATGCACAAACACACTCACACACACACACACTCACAGACACAGAAAACAGATATATAATAGAAAATTGCCTAAAAACCCCGTTCTGTTGTTTGTGCATTGTAGCTCCATGTGTGTTATCAGTGTGATTTATACCTTATAAGCCTGTGTGACACATCTCTATTAGCAATCATTTCAGCTCATTTGTGATAAATTCTAATTAATGTTCAGACGAGGGACCCTGAGATTGTTACAATCCAGAAGGCCTTTTTAATTTGATCTTTCTTTCTGATAAGTGATATTCAGCATGGTTGACTTCGAACAAATCTCATACAGTGTCTTAAAAATCAAGACATTTAATCATTTAATTAAATCATTTAATTAAAACATCTCTGCAAGATGACAGAGATAGCTGTGTTTTATAAAACAGTGAGCTTTTACCTCTTATGCAAAAAACCCTGGTGCTTCTGGGTTGTGTTTTTAGCCTGAATTTCCACCATTCATAATTGAATGGGAAATTCTTCTCTCACAGAAGCCCTTGCCAGTAGACATAAGTGGTGAGAGGGAGTCAGTAATCTTACAAGTGCTTGCAGGCTCATTTCTGCAGAGAGGGTCGTCTATGTGCCTGTCCTCTGCACTAAGGAGGCTTTTCTGAGATGAGTGAGTGTCAGAGTCCACTGCTCCCTTCCCTGACCTGACAGATGGAGGATGAACCAGTCAGTAGAATGGATGCTTCAAAAGCTAAAATAAGTGGAGCTATTATAATTCTAATTAGCAGGTCCATCTTAATAGTTTGTAGTCGTTGGTGTATTTACCAGCTGGGAAAGGCTAAAAAAATGACACTCTATTTTGATTTTGGAAATCAAATTGCTTTATGATATTTTTCATTAGAACACCATATGTGATCAATGCAGAAAATTAAACTAAGAAAATAGATGAAAATATTCATTTATCTTTTGGAGGCAAAGGGAGACACAGAAATGGTGGGTCAAAAGATGAACAAATGCAGCAGTGGTATTCACTATGTTGAAATAAACTACACAACTTGTGGCTAGGGACAGGAGGGAAAAATTGGGAGCGAGGGAAAGTGTGACTGTCCAAAAAAGAAATGTGCTCATTACCTGATTTATATAGCTTAATCCATCTGTACATCACCTTTATAATAACAATAAAATGCATAAAGATTAAATATATTTGTTTAAAAAAAGAAAATAAGAAGCTCAAAATCCCCAATAATTCTTTTTTTTCTGTTTTAAATATCAGTAGTTTATTTAACTGACTGTATTTTCAGTCAGTTTCTGAAGTAACCATGTAATTTTGGACTCACCAGCACATTGTGCTTAGGTTCTACTTCTCCTGCACCTTTATATGAATTTTGTTTTATCATGTACATATATTTAATTTTTCTCATCAATGTGCTGGGGTAATTCTTTGGAAAAATCCCCAATAATTCTATAGTTAGAGGTAATTTCTGTTCTTTATGATAATGTTGGGGTTTGAATGAATGGCCTTTTGCATGCCAGACTGGTGTTCTACCACTGAGTTATGCCTCCAGTCCTGTTTTACTTGGATTATTCTTAGGATAGTTTTGTTTGTTTGTTTTTTCTGGTCACGGGGCCTGAACTCTGGGCCTGGGCGCTGTCCCTTAGCTCTTCAGCTCAAGGATAGCGCTCTACCACTTGAGCCCCAGAGCCATTTCCATGTTTTTCTGCTTTTGTGGTGCTGAGGAATTGAACCCAGGGCCTTATGCATGCAAGGCAAGTACTTTACCACTCAGCCACCTTCTCAGCCCTAGGATAGGTTTGTACTTCCCACCCAAGAGCATACCTGGGATCACAGACTCAGCTTCTCTTTCTGGAGATGGATTCTTGCAGACTTTTCTATTTTTCCCTGGCTGGCCTAGACCTAATATTCTCCCAATCCCAGCCTCCCACTTAGCTTGAATAATAAATGTCACCTCTGTGCCCATCTATAGGTTGAAAAGGGAGTGTGCAAATTCCTTGCCTCAGCTAGCTTCCGACCATGAGCCTTCCTTCTTCATCATCCCAAGTTGGTAGGATTATAGATATGAATCACCAGAGCCTGACCCTATTTGCTTTTTAAAAACTTTTCTATTCTGTGTCTAATTGGTCTCATATTATACATATACATTCATGTTTCATTTGTTTCTCACAGCATAGTTAGGGTGATTGCACCCTAGGCAAAATAGGTCATTGAATATATCTAATAGCCTGTCATCCTAGCAACACTGGACGTTGAAAGCAGCAGAATCACTGTTCTAGGCTACCATGGGCAAAAAATGATTCACAAGACGCAAAATTAACAGAAAATGCTAGGTGTTGTGATGTATACCTGTTATTCCAGCTATGACAAATAGGAGGATCAAGATTCAGGATGGCTCGGGAAAAATCAAAACCCTATCTCAAAAGTCACCAGACCATTAAAGCTTAAAGTCATGGCTCAAGCAGTAGTATACTTGCCTAGCAAACTTGTAGCCCCAAGTTCAAACCCCAGTACTACTAAAACCAATGACTAGGTATGGTTATTTTTATAATGATCCTGTTATTCATTTACCTCTTTTTCAGTGCTAGTTTTCAGTATCATAAAACTATAGCTGTGATGGACATATGAAGACTTTAGTATCACAATTATAGCATTAGGCTACCTGTTCTACTGTACATTTTTATTGATAAGAGGGTATCAAATAGGCCCACATGGCTGTGAGTGAGAATCAATTTGGGAAGGTTTTAAATGATGGTATTTGAGTTGTTCTTTGATAGATGCACAGACAAAGCTTTAGTAGTTATAAAAGTCAGGACATTATAACTTGGAGAAATTCATGAACAAAGATGTAAATACGGGGGCTGGGAAAGTGGCTCAGTGGTAGAGTGCTTGCCTTGCATGCATGAGGCCCTGGGTTTGATTCTCAGCACCACATAAGCAGAACAAGCCAGAAGTGGTGCTGTGGCTCAAGTGGTAGAGTGCTAGCCTTGAGCTGAAGAGCTGAGGGACAGCGCCCAGGCCCAGAGTTCAGGCCAAACGACTGACCAAAAAAAAAAAAAAAAGATAGATGTACATGGAGTGAGCATGGGCACTCTGCTTGTGATATAATCATAATGGAAGGATAGGCTTGAGAAATTGCAGGAAATAAAGTGAAATATGGGGTATAATGTTTTAATTGCTAGTAGGTTAAGTGAGGCAATCAAAGACATGAATTTTTTTTAGAATGTTGCATAGTCACTGATGTGTGTTGGGAGAATTTAGATCCCCCCCAAAATAAAAAATATATTCCTCAACTATATTTCCTCAAACATAAAAATGTATGAGTGTTCAAATTCTTTGTTTTTTTTAGTTTTATTGTCAAGGTGATGTACAGAGGAGTTACAGTTACATATGTAAGGTAGTGAGTATATTTCTTGTCAAACTTGTTACTCCCTCCTTTGATTTTCCTCCCTCTTTTCTTCTCCCCTAACCCCCTCCAAGTTGTAAAGTTCATTTCCAGCATATTTCTTGTGACTATCGCTGTTGCATTGGTTTTCACTTGTCCTTTGTCTCACCATTTTGTTCTTACCCTTCCCTTCCCTAATTCAGATAAATATATACAATACACAGGGTACCAAAATCATACTCAGTGACAGCATGGGATAAACCATAGGGGAGAAAAAGAAAAAAATGAAAGAAAGAAGAAATAACTTCACATAGTTCATTAACAACAACAACAACAACAACATCAAATGTAAAAATGTGTTCAAATTGTTTGTATAAAAGTAGTATTTTTGTATATGATCTATGGAAATCCTCTCATATGCTTTACATCTTCTCTAAATCAGCTAGAATAACCAATAAAATGTAAAGCTATGCAAATGACTGTTGTATTATTCAGGAAATGGAGACAAGAAAATTGTACGTGTTCAGTACAAATAAAATGTTTAATTTTCATGGTTTTTGTCTGGGGTTGGGTGACTTACAGGCACAGGAATATAGGAGCTGAAGATATGAAGAGTCTACTGTGCATTTAATTATTCATTAAAAATTTATTTTACATTTTATGGGCAAGGCCTCCATCAGAATCCAATAACATGCAGTGGAGGCCAGAAATGGCTTATACTTCAGATGAGATGATGTCATTAGACCAGCGTGATCTTTCATTTTGCTCCCTAAAGAGTGTGAAATACCATTGGTTGGAAAAGTGCATTCATGGTAGCAGTGGGGATATTTGTCCAAAACTGGAGTATAAGCACAACTTAAAAGTATTTAAAAGGTTGTTTCTATTTAGATTGGAGGATGGAGGCTGGCTAAATTGAAGAATAGCAGGTATAGATCCACTAGAAAATGAAGAGTTGGGAGGAAGGGACTATGTCCCAAAACTTAGGAGAATGGATTTGAGAGAGGAAGGTTTAGAATATGAGTCAATCATTTAGTGGGTCTTATTATTTGGTAGACTTTTTTCATAGTGTCCAACCTTTGTGCTACCCCATATTTGCTGGATTGGAATTGTGGATGAATGAGATCAAGTCCCTACATACTGAGGGTTTCTCAGTGATTCTGATACATGTGTCTGGTTCAAAACCACTAAATGAAGTGATATATTTTCCATCCAAGAAGTTATCTAAATCTACCCTTTAGAATATTAATATACTCACAATGCTTTTGTGTTTATTTTTCTTCTGCATACTTTTCTCATGCTAACTTTAATGAGAATTTTTTTCTGTTACTTGGTACAAAAATCATAGAATTACTAATTAGTGTTACTCTGCATAATATATTTTGTTCAAATAAAATATACTGGAAAAGTTTAAAGGAATTTCTGTACTTTTTTTTTCTTAATTAAATGATAGGGGCAAAAACCAGAATGGATGTTCAAACATGGTATTTGAGAACTTCAAAAGTGGCTCTGGCCTTGGCAATTATCCGCTCAAAACCAGCAGACAAAACCAGCAAAGAATATACAGAGCACCTGGCCACGCTGGTGTCTGAGCGGGAGTCCAAATGGAGATCAAAAGTGGAAGCTTTGGAAACAGAAGTTCTGCAATTACGTCAAAAACTTCTTCTGAGTACGATTTGTTCAGGATTGTTTAAGGATGGTAAGTGATGAAATAACTTTTTAGTATTGTACAGTTGTAACTATAGATAAGACTAACAGAAAGAACTGCTGTGTAGGTAGAAGTGGGAGGTTTGCAAATTGAAACATTTCAAGGGCGAGCCAAGGAAGAGAAAGCGTAGTCCTCTTAAAAGTACAGGTGCAGGTATAGTATACATGTGTATGAGAGGGTAAGTGGAGACACACTTCCTTTTTGTTTGGGCAATTATCAGGAAAATCTGGTGACTTAATATGTAGATATTACTGAAATTTCATTGTTGCATAAGAAAAATAGTGATTCATTATTTGTAGCCATATTTTGTCTCTGTAGAGTCTTTCTTAGTGATGGGCTATTTGGATATGCCTGGGAAAAAATAACACATGTAATCATTTTTTCTTACTTTCCATGCAATTGTAGATGGCACAAAGTTAAAATTTCTAGTGACCCTAAACTATGATGTTCATAAATGTCATGTTAAAAATACATGTTACCAGCCAGGTACCAGTGACTCACACTTGTAATCCTAGCTACTCAGGAGGCTGAGATCTGAGGATCATGATTGAAAGACAGCCAGGGCAGGAAAGTCCATGAGACTATTTCCAATTAACCACCAGAAAACCAGAAGTGGCACTGTGGCTCAGGTGGTAGAGCACTAGCCTTGAGATGAAGAGCTCAACGACAGATCTCAGGCCCAGAGTTCAAGCCCCACAACCAATACATACAAATATACATATACATACACATACACACTATACACACATATACATATATTTTACAATACGGGGCTATTTGTAAAGTGAAGTGGTGTATATTGCTTGTTTGTAAAATGAGTGTGTCTACCAAACAGTAAGACCCAGGGTGATTACTTGTTTCTGAACTGGACAGTTTCACTTACAGTACCTGTGAGAGAAATTTTCACAAATCTTATAATTAAAATCAATTTTACTCGCAGCAGGAGTTACAGGTAAAATGTGTTAGCACAGTTGTTAGTTAATAATCTGTTATTCCATCTGTTAAGTTCAACTTCAAAACTGAGGAATAAGTGGATAGATTCAGATAAATGAGGTACTGTTAAAAAAGGAGACAAAATGAAAGAAAACAAGTAATTAGATTTATGAGACTATAAAGGAAAAACATAGAGGGTATTTGAAAGACTGACATTCCTTGCATTAAGGAAATTCTATTCCTAAAAAAATCATAGCTAGACTGTAGCTGTATTTGTATGATTCAATGTTTCTTTCTGGAATTTTTAGCTTACTTTCTATGTTCACCTTTTTCTGCTGTGAGACAACAAACTCTCAGTAAATGTTGAATTGAATGCTTGACAGATTGAGTGGCTAGAGAACTTAATTTGCAGTATCAATTGTCTGTTGTAGCAACTAAACAATTCAAAACTAAATAAAGTAGAGCTGAAATGGCAAAATTAACCACTAAGAAAATACAATATGGTTTATTCAATATTTTAAGGATTCAGCTATTTCTTTATTCTGATTTTTTGGTAACTTCTTAACAAGGAGTATGCTTCTTTATTATATTTGTTAAGGGACTATACTGTGTAGAAAATGGGGAAATAGAATTTGATTTTAGAATTGTGTATCATTTTTATTTTGCCTAAAGCTCACTAGTAGTCTCAAGAAAGAAGGTAGGGAAAAGAAATTGGAAAGGATAGAAGGGAGAGGAGGAAGGATAAAAGCCTGCGTCATATTATTCTGCGTCATATCCATCAGACTTTTTTGGTTATGAGAAAGACACAAGTGTTTACTCAACAGGCCATTCCCTTTTTTGTTCTAATGTCCTCCAGTTTTATCTGGTGTAGGTGTGCTCATGGTAATGGGCTATTATTGATCAAAGTTAGGGCAGCAGTCTTAATTCTGGCCATGGAAAGGAAAAAAAATACTTCTTCTGAGCTTTTGACTAAAATTTAACTATTTGGACAAAAGGAGGTCCATGAAAGTGAGCGTATGTATGTATGTATGTATGTATGTATGTATGTGTGTGTGTGTGTGATATATGTATTTATTTATGTCAGTATTAGGGTTGAAAACAGTTGCTTAGCTTTTTCACTCTACCACTTGAGCCATACCCTGTTCTGAAAGTGAGTACATTTAAACAAAAAACAAAAACATTGATCTTTGTTTCCTATTTTGGGCATTGACATGACAACATGATGCTTGGTAGCCATTTTCCAGCTGTGGGGCCATATTGAAAAATCCTTGTGAATATGTTAAGGATAGTGAACTAAGATGAGAAAAGCCTTAATACTTGTTGACATTATTGAGTAGTCAAAACAAATCTAGGTATTTTGTTAGGAATTTTTTAATGCAGACAATGGTGTAACTCTTTATTAGGCATTTTGTTACTTGTGTCTAGTATAGCCTAACTTCTCCAATGAGGATAGGATAGAGGCCATTAATGAATAAGAGTGATTTCTTTCCCTTCAACCTTCCTGATTTATATGGAAGAAAATGAGGGAGAAGAACCATGTTCTTTCATCTCGAAGAACATTCTAATCAAAGATAGCTTCATGTGTTGGTAAGGATGGGTAAGTGAGATTCAGTAGAGATTTGCCAAGGTGTTGGGGTCTTTACCATACTTTTTGATAGGTTATTGCAAAGGATGGGTTGACAGGAGCAGGGCTTTGTTAGTGGAAAATATTACTAGAATTTCATTGAGCAGGAGGATTCAAATATAAATGTCTGTTGTGTGAGAAAAGAAGTAAATCTTAACAGTTGCTATTGTACTTACATAGTAATTTGGCATTCACAGGAGGGAAGTGGATAAATGGGGTGTTGGGGTGTTGTTTTCCCCCTACAGTTTTAAGTACTTAATGTCTTCATAAATGATAGATAAGCTACTAGATGAGCAAGCAGTTGCCTAAAAGGTAAGTGAAAACCAACCAAATTAGTTTAGTGATTTGCATGCTTAGTGTACATTCACTGAACAACAGGCACTCACACAGAAGGCTTGATTGGTAACAGGCTGTATTATGCAAAGTACCACAGTTAGCTATGGTTGAGCTAGTTCTTCTAAGACCTTTGCTGAGATCTTGTCAATGTTTTGTGTCCTGGGAAACAACTAAACCACTTTGGGAGCATCTCAACCCTTATGGCAGACAGTTTTTGAATTTTTCTCTCCCAGCCCCCATTAAAAAAATGATTTCAAGTGCTCTGTTACCTCCCTGGTTCATGCTTCTTATCTTGTGTAAGTATAGATGCAGGAAAATCTTTTCCACTATCTGTTGTCAATATAGGGACAATAGAACCCAAACTATGTAATGGTCTCATGTGCTGTGCTTCTACAATGATGCTTGTTGTAGCCACCCAGCTGCCATTTTCCTAGCTGCTGCCACTGAGCCTTGGTCCCTCCTTTGTTCTTTGTTCTCTTGATTCTCCTCCTCCTTTGCCAGATGGACAAGGTACCAAGGAAGAAGTATTGCAAACAACTGCCTTATCAACACAACTGTGGAGCTTAGCATTTATTAATTGGGGTATTCACTGTTTGATAGATGCTAAAAGAGCATGAAGAATGAAAGTATAGACATTTCATTCTCAGTTTTCATTCCAGCTCTTATAATATATAATATACTTAAATGTAATAATGATGGAAATTTGCCTGAAATTATGGTTAAAGTATATATGGATAATATACATAAATATCAGCAAATTTGTCTTTAATGAGATTGTAATTAAAAGCTATAATTAAAAGTAAATTTATAGCTATACATTAGACATGTTTTATTCATTAAACAAAATTGAATTAATATTCTGGTAGTAGAAACCCTCTGCTTACATTAAAATAAAGTTAAGTTTAAAAGAGCTTAGAATATCAAATGCTTTTAATAGAGATAGGGCAAGAATTTAGATTGATTATTATAACTAGATCTGTCCCTGTAGAAATTATGACGGAGACAATGCCTTATAATGACAAAAACAGTAAAGGTAGAGATTAGATCTGAAAGAAGGTACAGAGCTTGAGAGGTTGGAATTAGTACAAGAATTCCACAGCATTAGGTATTCCCAAAGAAACCTTTATTCATCCTGTTCTCCTGGTACAGGGCTCTGAGTTTGATTATTGAATGCAACCATATTTTTACTGGTATATATTAAATTTTACATAGTAAGGGGCTTCATCATGATATATCAATGTATGTAGAATATGCTTAGAACATAACCACCCATATTATTACTCTTTATTATGCTCTTTGCTCACTCCCTTTTCCCTTCTCTTGCTACCTCCCTTACCTTTCACTTCTTTTTAAAAAAATTTTATTTATTTATTTTATTGTGAAAATACTGTACAGAGGGGTTACAATTACATGGGCAAGGTAATGAGTACATTTCTTTTTTGGGGGGGAGTCCGGTCGTGGGGCCTGAACTCTGGGCCTGGGCGCTGTCCCTCAGCTCTTCAGCTCAAGGCTAGCGCTCTACCACTTGAGCCACCACGCCACTTCCAGCTTTTTTCTTTTTGCTTACGTGGTGCTGGGGAATCGAACCCAGGGCCTTATGCATGCAAGGCAAGCGCTCTACCACTGAGCCACCTTCCCAGCCCCATGAGTATATTTCTTATCAAGCATTGTTGCCTCCTCCTTTGTTTCCCCTTCACCTTGTTTTATTTTGTTTCCCTCTAACTTCTACAAATGAAAGAAAAAATTAGGTATGTTACCTTTTATTGTGGGACTAGTTTAGTTTAATTAATGTAATAGTCTACAGTTCCACATATTTTTCAGAAAACAGTCTAATTTCTTCTTTAATGATTGAATAAAACTACCGAGAATTTACACCATATTTTGTTTATACATTCATCTATACAATCTCCACATGCAATCTCCACATTGGGTGTATTTACTTTCTATGTGACTGTAATATTTTCTTTTCTTTTCATTCTTGGTTGGAAAGGTTTTTCTAACTAGTTAGTCTGCATGTTTATTTTGGTCTTGCTTAATTAATCCTACTTAAAATGTGTGTGTTTACTTGTAAATGTGGCACTTTCTACTCTAGAATGTATCTC